AGCAACAACAACAATAACAACAGCAACAACAACAATAACAACAGCAACAACAACAATAACAACAGCAACAACAACAACAATAACAACAGCAACAACAACAACAATAACAACAGCAACAACAGCAACAACAACAATAACAACAGCAACAGCAACAACAGCAACAACAGCAACAACAGCAACAACAATAACAACAGCAACAGCAACAGCAACAGCAACAGCAACAGCAACAACAGTAACAGTAACAGTAGCAACAAAAACAACAACAACAACAACAACGAAGATGACAATAATGAGAACGATAAGAATTCTAACAATAATAAAAATAATTCAAATGAAAAAAATCAATCAAATTCATCGAATAAAAATGAAAACAAGAATTCGGACGAAAATAAAAATGAGAATAAAGATAAAAAGAGATCAAATATCGAAAAGAGAGATGAGGAATATCATTATGTGATCCCACAAGTAATTGTATTTACTTCAGGAAACGGTGGCACACCTGGAATAAAAGAGAAATATAGTGGAAGCAAAAATGTATTGAAAAAAGCTCTTCTTGGCATTACTTTGGTGACCTTTGAAGATATGAAAACTTTGAGGTTATTAGCTGAAAACGGTAATGATAGAATTTCAATAAACCCAGGTTAGCATTTTCTTTGTAACTCATATTTTTCATTTCTAATCCTAAATAATAATTTGTTGCTATATAAAGAACAAGGACCATGGTTGGCATTAATGTCAAGTCCTCTTTGGATAATATTTTTAGTCGCAATAGAAATAATATATATGTGTATTGTTTCTCTCTCGATTTATATGTTCCTTAAAGCATATAACGATAAAAGTTATAGCGTTTCTTCAGGAAAATCAAAATTTTCGCTTTATCCTGCCGTTGTAATTATTTCGCTCTGTAAGTACAATTTAATAGAAATTTATTATTTTACTATAATGACTTGACTTTTATCAACTTTTATCATGAAGGCTCTGCATTAATTCTTGCATTGAGTCCTGGTGACATCTATGAATATCGCATGCCAACTTTAGTTCGCAATTTTATAACTTATTTTGAAGAAATGTTATTATACATAATATTTGCAATTATTGAAATACCTTGGTAAGCACAACCTACGTATTATTTCATATAAATCTTTAAACTGTGACACCCTTTTATTATTAAATTAATATTAATATTTCTGTAGGAAATCTATTGCATGGAATGTATGCCGGAAAAGTAGCTTTAGCTTAAACTTAATACACGGAATTAATTTATCCTTTTGGCTTCTACTGGTCTTCTGCATCTTTATTTTTCTCTTAGATTTTGTAGTGCGCGTGATCTCTTTTGCCAAAATAGATGAATCTTGGGCTGCGAATACAATAAAGATAGCTTTTATTTTCGATTCATTGACAATAGTCTTGATAACGCTAGAATTCATTTGTTTTGGATTATTTATACTTTTCGCATTGAAGAATCGAATTGCTTTTCAGATATTTGATGAGAATCGGAAACGTATTAGATTAAAGGTATTTACGACGTAGATGTTAGTTACTCTATTCGGTAATAATAAACGCTAATTCAAATTCTTTTTGAACAGGTCTCTTTTTTAATGCTTATGATAATCATTTCAGTTTCCTCGTCCATTAGTGCTCGGTCTCTTGATTTTCTTTCGCCTACTATAAAAAATTTCTGGATAATAGAGGTAAGATTGATCTTTCTTTCTTCACTTGATATCAAAAAATCTGAATTTAAAACAATATTTCATCCTATGTGAATAGATATTACAAGAATTAGCAACAGTTCTGGGCTGCACTATAGTTTTCATTATTCTTAAAGACAAGATATTTGCACGTCAAAGCATCAAAAACATTTCACATCGTAAAACTACCGTTTCTTTATCGACAAATTCTGGTAGCATTTTGGCTGCTGTTGATTTTCATTCATTTGATGGTAACTTTGAGAGCAATTACGAAAAAGAAAATGATGACGATAACGCGTCACTGTTTCAAGAACTATTTAAAGACTAATCAAGATAGTGAAGGCAGAAAAACATAAAATCCATTTGTAATTACTTCTGCAAGGGTTATACTAACTAAATAGATAGAAATATTGAAATTAGTCTATTTCTTACAGATAGTTTATGTCAGTTAGTCAGATATCCTACCTATAGTAATATACTGGATACGTACATATTACGTCCTACGTATTAAACCTATAATAGTTAATAATAAAAATTATGTTAGTTTGAGACCATTTTTAATATAGGAATGATAGAGATTTTGATTAGCTATTATAACTTATCTGGACAATTAATATAATAACTTTATAATCTTTAACTATAGTAGCAAAATAATTAAAGTGAATACTAGCAATGTCACTTTTATATTTAATTATATATTAAACTCTTTACTATTTATATTATTATTAAAGAAAATCAAGAAGTATCATTATCTAAGAAAGTTATCAAATTAATTAAAAACTTTACAGATATCTTATCTAAGCTATTACCTGATAAATTATTATCAAAATATAATACTAATTATACTATTAATTTAATATCTGATTCAAAATCATCACCTTATTCTATCTATTATTTATTATATATTGAGATAAATAAATTAAAAAAATAACTAATTTGTTAAATAAAGAATTCATTTACTTAAGTGAAATTATTTAATATATCTATCTTATTTATATATAAAAAGAAAGAAATCTTGAGATTTTATATAAACTATCATATCTTAAATAAAATAATAAGTAAAAATTAATATTCTCTACTATATATAGATAAGCTAATAGATTAGCTTGCTAAAGCTTAATATTTTTCTAAGTTAGATTTATATTCAAATTATCATTACATAAGAATTAAAAAAGATAATTTTTATAAAATCACTTTTAAAATAAGATATAATTATCATAAATTTCTTATTTTATTATCTAGTTTAATAAATATATTTATAACTTTCATAATATTAATAAATAATATATTTCATAATTATTTTAATAATATACTTATATTTAGCAAAATTAAATAATCATTTTAACTAAATTCTGAAAGTATAAATTATATATCAAACTAAAAAAATATAAATTTATTAAATAATATATCAAGTACTTAAATTATTTTATTTTAGAAAAAAATCTCTATAAATTAATATAAAATTTATGACTAATTATAATTAATTAATATATCTAAACTTTAATTATTCTTAGATCTTATTAGCTATTATTATAAATTTATAAAAGATTTTTTTGTAATTATTTTATTACTTATATCATTATACAAAAATTAAGAATATATTTGAGATAATACTAAAAAAAATATTTGCTAATTTGAAATAATATTTAATAACTATTCTAATATTAATTTTATCAGATTTAAAACTATTATTTATTATTATAATAAATATATTGAATTTTATTATAAATATTATATTTAAATATATAAATTTATTTTTAATATAATAAAATAGTTAGATCTATAAATAAAAATTTTAAATACTTTATTATATATTATATTAAGTGAAATTATTATATAATTTATAATAAATTATTCTTGAATTCAAGTTTATTATATTATAATTCAATTTAAATTTTATTATATTAAAAGTATTTTTATATACTGTATATATTTACTTTTTTATTATATTTTTAAGTTTTTAAAAAATTATTAGATAATATTATAAAAAATATTTTTTATTTTATATTCTTCTTTATTAGTTAAAATAATAATAGATAAAGATTTGATTTTATTAAATTTATTAAATTTATTATTAGAGTTATCTTTTTTAAAAAATATAAAATATTAAATATATAGTAATAATCAAAAGTAATAATTCAGGAGCTAAATTTATTAATAAAATATAATAAAAATAAAATTTTCTTATTATATTAAAATTTCTAATTTTATTAAAAAATAATTTTTATTTTTATATTAAAATAAAGTTTATTATTTATATTTAATATATATTTTTTTCAAATTTTTTAAATTTTTTCTGAAAGAGTTACTCTAATTATAAAGTTAGTGAAAAAATTTTTATTAATTAAATTTCATTTTTAACTAATAAAAATTTTTATACTAACTTTATAATTAAAATAACTCTTTCAGAAAAATCTGAAAAATCTGAAAAATCTGAAAAAATATATATTAAACTACAAATAATAAACTTTATTTTAATATAAAAATAAAAATTATTTCTAATAAAATTAAAAATTTTAATATAGAGAGAAAATTTTAATTTTTATTATATTTTATTAATAAATTTAGTCATTAAGTTATTACTTTTAATTATTATTATAATTTTATAAATAAATAATAAATAAAGAGAGAGGAATTAGACTATAACTTTAATACTAACAAAGATTTTTAAGATTTGTATCAATATTTATAGTTATTATCTTTAAAAAGAGATAAATTATAAAAGAAAAGAATAATATAAATCAAAAAAATTATAATAATTAATAAGTAAAATCACTATTAATTAATAAAATTAAAGATTTATGATAATTAATAAGTGAAGTTACTATTAATCAAAGAAAACTATAACTAAAAAATATAATAACTTATATAAATAAAAATATAAATCAAAATAATTAATTAAAAAATATAATAACTAATATATATGAAAGTATAAATCAAAAGTATAACTTATTTTAAGTAGAGATCTTTTACTAAGATATATTAATATAATTTAAAAAGAATTAACTAAATTTAAATTTTTCAAATCTGAATTTATTTTATTTGAGAGAGTACATAAATTATTAAAGTATTATTAATTAATTTGATTTAATATATATGTTATAATCTTTTGTAACAAAATTAGATTAGTTAATAATAATTAGATTATATTTATCTTTTATTTCGCAGATCATTGCTGCGCCACATACTGCGCCACACGTGATCTACTGCGCCACAATCACCAGATCTTGTCAAGAAAAGTCACACGGTATATTTGAGTTATTTTAGCTATAGATAATTTCTTAGTAGAATTTCTCTTTTCTCTTGTTCTACTAATTTAGCTAGT